TCGTGGCGAGTGGAAGAGTGGGTGCGGGCGACCCTTTGCTCGAAGGGGAAACTCTAATTTCCGGGAAAATAAGATATCCTAGCTGAGAGGCGTTTTAAAGCTGGAGGTCTTTCCGGCCTACATAATTAAAACCAACACACTGTTCCCGTCGCAGTTGCCACGTCGTACATACAAGTCTTTCGTACCGAGCTCATGCAGATAAAACGCTCGGAAGAAGCAATTTGTATTCCGAAACCGTACTCTTATTTATGAGGAGACTTTCATCATTATTCTCATGATGCAAACTGTAAGTAGACCTTTAGAAGATTCGAGATAAGATAACCCACGTTTATTATGAATTTTTGAAGAGTTCGTTTTAATGCAATCTCCTCAGTGTTTTCTAGATATCAGCTTACAAAAAATTAAACTTTATAAATTGTAAACTAACAAATTTACTGTAATGAACGCCATCTCATAAGTGAAAAACCCCTTTTAATGAACCTTTTCACATGATTTGTTTTCATTTCTGTTCCCTGTATATATCCAAATGAAAATTACTTATTCAAAATTTACTTTCCAAATGTTCGTCCACAAGTTTTCCCTCTTTTTATAATTAAAGTGGTTAGAGGCACCATCTTTGGTGGACACATTTAGAAAATGTATTGAAAGCGCCATCAAAGAGACAGAAACAGGTGATATAATTATGTTCAAACGTAAGTAAAGTCTAATTGTGCCTTTATGCATAGCCTTACTTGAATTTTCATCCAACAAAATGTAAAATGAAGTATATTTGTATTCCAGTCAAAAGATTCTGACTATATACTATCGTCATGAATAAAATGGAAACGATACGTTTTCAAAGGCAGGAGTGATAATGTATCTTGAACCGAAATGTACTTAAATTTTAAAACATGACAAGAATAAAATTCTTATTATTATCACTTCAAGCACATTTTCCCAACATTTAATTGAAAATACACTGACGTGCGGCTACATTGCTATGTTTCTTTTCTCAACATTGCCCCGAAATTATTAGAAAAAAATTGATCAAATTTCATTGTAAGTTTATCACTTACAATGAAAACAATTAGGTGAATCGTATACTATTTGCATAAGACAGATACGAAGAAAAAAAACCGTCTTGAATTTAAGCTTTGAGCAGTTTTTTTTTATGAGAAGACATTAAAAAACCCTAACTCACAACGCCAACACTGAAAAATGAAAGGTGTCTGAAACATCTGCTCAAACACATTTCTCACCCCTCCACACACTTTCCCGCAGAACACCGGATAAGAAAGTAAAATTTCAGAAAGCTCCTTAGTTCTTTATTTAACCGCGAGATGGGGCAGTCCGTTTGCATGGCTTCCCTTCCCCCCTGTCGCGACGCCTAGCTTCCGGATTGGCAGCACAAACATTTCTCGCGCAGCTATTTCCTTAACGGCCGCCTTAATGCCTCGTAGCCCGCCTTTAGTTACATCTTTGGGGACCATTTTTCGAATCGATTTTCTCATTTGAGCTCCCTTTTCCGCGCCTTGTTCCCCTCCCCCGCGCGCTAAGATTGCGTGCCAAGATTTTTTTCTCTGTCACGGCTTTCCGCGCTGAAGCGACCTCTGCCAGGGACACACGGGCGGGGGGCTGTCGGGTGGGTAGGTGGGGGGTGGGGGTGGCGTGACCTCGAGGTTCGTCGTCCCGACGTCGCGGCGGCTTCATCGGGGGGAAATGATAGATAAACGGAGAAACGACGTATGGTGCAGCGAAGTTTATGGGTGCGAGGGGGGAGGGGAGAAGGAATTTCTGGGAAAATGTTTCGAAGAAGGCAGAGAATGGAGAATTGAGGACACGGCGAGCGGGCGGAGAGGGGAGAGGAGATGAAGGAAGGGGGTGTTGAAGTTGTGAGAAGGGACCTGATTGGATGAATGATGCGGGGCGGTTCAGAGCTAAATGGATCACGTGTCTTGTTAAGGAGGCGGACGACAAATGTGAGTTTCCAACGCTTTGTAATCAGCCAGCCTTGTGCCTGATATCGAGCTATCAATTTAAAGATTTCTAAAGCATAACATTTACAATGACACAATGCATTAATAGAATCATTAAGAAAATACATTTTAAGGCAATCATATATTACAAAAAACGAACTTCCATTTCAGGTAATCACAGTATACACGTTTAACTATATATAGGGTAAACGAAAATAAATGATATAATGTTCAATCATTGAAATAACATTTATTTGAATTCCAGGTAAAAGTTTTGAGACTCTTCATTGCCCTACCTGCAATGATACAAAGGTAGAGTTTAGGAATGGATAATCTACATCGGCGACTCAACAATCGAGAAGACGGCGTTTTGCTTTATTTTTTTCCTGCGACAGAATACGCTTATGGGAGTGTAAGATACCAGTAAATGAGTTATGTGTTGAGCATGGTCCGGAATATGAAATCATAAATAAGATCTTTATGTAATTTCTGTATTTTGATTAAATTTTAAATATATAATTTCGTTTATAAGAATAACGTAATAAGACGTCCGGACATCGAATACTATTCATTATTTCTAATACTGTGATGGTTCAGGAAGTTTTGTTTGTTAAAAGGAAAAAGGGTTCAGTTCTGTTATTTGAAGTTCCCGGAGTTACACGTTTTCATGCCATGCTCTGTGGGTATAAAATTTCAGGGTGGTGACAAATCATCACCATTAAAAAACTTCAGCACTTATAATGCCGTTGATATAAATCTTAAAACAATTAAAAAATTCCCATAAAGTTTACGAGACAGGAGGCCGGCTCCTGCGTTGAAGCACTGCTGGTTCGGGCACGGGCATAGGGACTACTGACAGCAGCGGTGGTTGAGATATAGGCAAACGACGAGGACGATGCAGGTGACGGCAAACGTCCAGGCAGCTAACGTCAAACGACGAGGGTTGAGACGGTAAACGACGAGGGTTGAGACTGCAAACGACGTGGGAGGTGACGGCAAACGACGAGGGAGGTGATCGCAAACGACGGGGGAGGTGAAGGCAAACGACGAGGGAGGTGAAGGCAAACGACGAGGGAGGAGAAGGCAAACGACGAGGGAAGTGAAGGCCAACGACGAGGAAGGTGAAGGCAAACGACGAGGAAGCTGAAGGCATACGACCAGGGAGGTGAAGGCCAACGACGAGGGAGGTGACGGCAAACGCTAATAGAGGTGACAGCAAAGGACGAGGCAAGTGACGGCAAACGGCAAGAGAAATGACGTCCGACGAGGGAGGTGGCGACAATCTACGAGAGAGAGCGAATACAGACGACGAGCGGCGGATTTGACGAAGGCACCGACCGGGCTTGACTGTTACCGAGTTGACAGCGTTGAGGCGTCCAGGGAGGCGAGCGCAGCGGCATGGCAAGCGTGCGGTCGGCAGCGGCGGGCGCGGCGGACCAGCGAGTGGCGGGCGGCGAGCGCGCGGGCCTACGAAGCGGAGGGCACAGCGCGGCGCGTGGAAGGAAGGGCGCGGGCGATAAATCTCCGTGTGTGTGACGCGAGCCCTTTGTGCCCTGCGCGGGTGGCGCCTGCGTCGACGCCGGCGAGAAGGGCGACCGGGCGCCAGCCGCGCGCTGCAACGGCCGGTGGCCGACGTTCTGTGCGCGACGCCAGGCGGAGATGGCCGCGCCTGTTTTCGCGTTGGGAAACGATGGAAAGTGGCATTGCATAACATAATTTCGTGTATAAGCATAACGTTTTATCACGTCCGGACATCGAATACTATTTGTTGTTTCTAATGCTGTGATGGTTCAGCAAGTAATTTTTGTTAAAAGGAAAATGATTCAGCTTACAAATGAATAATATAGTCTCTGGAATGGCTTGGTGTCTGTTCGGTGCATATGACCATTTCATTATATTTGTAATAAATACAACAATTTTGAGAAATAAAAGAAATATCAATCTATAATGATTTATGATTCTTTTTTGAATTCTTGATTTCGTGATATTGACGTAAATTTTGTGTAGATATCGATTTTTACTTGCGTTTGAGGCACTGTCAATATACAATAAGTTATAGCGCTATATGTGGCATATAGCGTCAATAAATAATAACATTAATTAAAATTATCCCCAATTCCGTTTAATTGGAAAGAAAAATACAAATTACAAAATAACAAATTAACATGGGAATAATGCATTTTCAATTATAGTATTTTTTGTTAAAAGAAATATATTTTTAAAATAATAAAATTTTTTATAAAAATGAGTGGTTTGGTGTAAAAAATTCTTAGTTCCCATGCTTCATTTGCTAGAAGGAAATATCAGATTCGAACACGACAATGACATTCGGCGCAGCGAGACGGCAGTTGTAATTCTGTGAATTCCGTCTCATTGTTGGGACGTGCTTTAGTTGTACGAAAAAGTTTTGATTGTCGAATTTGTGTTATTTGCTTGAAAATATTTAGTTTTCGTACGTACTTTTCTACGATTTCTAATGAGGTTTATAAAAAAAATGATGACCGAGATGAGTTAAATCGTACTGAAATTGCGTTTACGTAACCTTAACTATGGGCGAGAAAATATGTAGCGTTCTAGCACTAGTTTAAATATTATTTTTTGCTTATTACGGTTTCAGAATAGTATCGAAAGTTTCCATAAGGATTGAAAGATTAAAAAAACGACCGAGTCGACTACAATTTGGTAGTCTCCGCTGCATTCGATTATCCAGATAAAATGAATTTAAGGTTAGGTAATCATGGATTGATTCAATTTCATGTTTCCGGGCGCGTTAACTGCTACATTCATTAGTCTTGTAAGTGTTGCGGATGTTTTGTCACGAGAGGTAGCGGTGTTCCTCATCCGCTGGATGGTGAGATCTGGCTCAGATCCTAACCATTATTACCAAAATCCTGCCGTCTTCGGAATTACAACTTCAGAATATTCTGGTCTCAGGGACTGCAGTGAATTAGTTGATGTCCTTCGCCACCTCAACCAGTAGACAGACATAGAAATTTAATTAGCAACATACAGCAACACCGAGTACGAATTTCTAAATTTGAGAACCTATTCCTGGTTATAAAGGGAATGCCGGAAAAGAAACAATCTTAAATTTGGAATAAAAGATTTAAATTGTGTTATACTATACATTATATTGAATTATTAACATGAAAGTTTGATTTCATCCCATTAATTTTGGCGGGTCACCACTAGTTTATCATAATTGTGTCGAAATATAAGACGTTTCATTTGCATAATTTGTGTAATTAATATGATAAGTAATATTCAACTTTGTTTTTCATTTCAGAAAGTCCTTTTGAATGGCGTTATGCTTGATATCGTATCAGATTCTGAACCACACAGACTTGTAATCCATCTAACGACCGTCAGTGTAGGGACGATTAGAAAACGATTGTGTACAGAAACATTGGATATCAACTGACGGATATCGATCATTAAACTTTCGGATGTTGCATGAAAAACCAATAAACCAAATTGAAAGTAAAACGAAATCAATGCAGGACAAATATTAAATATAAACTGTGAACAGCAAGCAATCCAAACGAAGTGTTTGCCGCAGGGCCGAATACATCTTAGTGAGCATGGTGAGGAACAGGCCGTTTGTTTCACAGCGAGCCAAAACGCAGACAGCTACAGAGATTGATCGCGCAGGAGGCGTAGGCGAAAGGCAGGGCAGATGCGAGGGGAGGCGAGGCCAAGCGGGGAATCGAGTATCAACCCCGCGCTGACCGGAAGTGGCTATTGGACGCAGCGGATGCGAGCGCACGAACGCACGAACGTGGGCCTACGTCGTTGGGCAGCGCGGGTGGGCGCTCACGCCAGGGAGGAAGTGAGCGCGGCTGGGTCGAAGGCGACGGGGGCAGAAATGATAACAACGCCCACGGAATGGAAGGTCGAAGTAATCATGAAGACGTGGCACGAGAGCGAACGGAGGAAGCGGGGAAGTCAGGGATGCTTCCGAGGTACGGCTGAGAGACGAGGGTAGCGAGGCAAAAGACCGGGAGCATGGTCCAATCGACAGCGGTAAAGGTGTTGGAGATGTTCGTTATATAGAGAGATTACTTCTTTGGCAGCTAATGCTTGGCCATTGTTAGTAATATAACTGCAAGTTATGTCCAGGCACTCATTTTGTCAGTGTTTTCTTCTAAAGTTAGCTCATTTGTAAATGACTTCATCACTATCTTTTGCAAAGCAATCGCCCTGCATGACTTTCATTTGTTTCCCGACCTGTCAAAGTGGATCCAGCTATGGAAGAAGATGATCCATAAACGGAAATTGCGTTGATAAATGGAGCTGCAATATATTCATGTGATTGCAGAGTGATGAAATAAATTCCTTAAATAATTGTTAATAAGAGTAATTCCTCCATAGTAGCAGTATTGATGGTGTGGATAGTGGTAGTGACGATCAAGGTGGTAATAGTGCGCCTCATTAGCGCATGAGTTGGAGAGAGCCATGAAGAGGCGACTGCGGCGAAGGCCGGGGATAAAGTAGAAATGTCAAGAGACTAAAGGTCAACGGGAAATCAGATGATGCGAGGTGCGAACGGATGCAGTAGGGGCGTGAGCGGATGCTTCGGAGTGTGCGGTGGCAAAAGGTCACCGCGGAGGAAGCGAGACCAGCGGCGGAGGGCGTCAGGGGAAGTGGCGGGGCTAGTTGTGAAGGAAGTGGAGACGGTGAGGACAGCAGTAATGATGAAGGTGGTGATAGAGATTTTGATGATTGTGGTGGCAGTG